CTGTACACTCGCATAAGCATTATAGTAACAGGTAGGCCTACCCGTTTGACAAACAAAACAACACACACACACACGTAAAGAGAACATAAACGATTTCTTATGTATCAGTAACCCAAAAGGACCATAAAAAAATCTCTGATAATCACTAATACGCCCTTTTGTTGAGAAGAATCTATAATTTTCTTAGGATGACAAGAGGGCTACTAGTACTACTAGATCTATATAAACTCTTCTAGTTCCAGTTCTACCACAGATTGCGATAAATCTATGTGTGCATAACTTTTGACATTGGTGGCTGTTATAATAATAACCGCATTTAAATAAAATAGTATAGCAAGTATCCACACTTTTCAGCATGCACTATAGGCGCTTTACAACCATTATTACCCCACCAGACCCTAGAGCATTCAAAGACATTCTCGACTTTCCGCGATTCGAACCCACATCCTTACGGTTAACGGTTGCGAGCCCAAGAGACTAACCACTGCCACCGGCACCACTGGCTTGCTAGCATCCATTTTTCTCGCGAGGCAATGGTGTATGGCACTTGACTTGGTGTACCGTTTTGTGAATGTTTTGAATCCCGATCTTTTAACCAAAATCCAGGTCCTTTAGGAAAGGCGGGCTGCTTCCACCCTTCCCGCCTGGGCCAACTCGGGTCGAGTAGGATACAACAACCCAGCAGATAGAGATATTCGATAAAATAATATTATTATATTATATAATTTTCCCCATCCACAATTGAACACGTGTCTCGTGCATGCAACAGCGTTCAGGGCATGGTGCCAACCGGATTAAAAATATGATTCAATCACGCCCCGCAAGATTTCCTCTACGGAAGGGCAAAAGAACTGCATGTATTTTGGCACAATACGAGGGATTTGACACGCAACCTTGAACAAACAAACGTGTTTGAATTGATGATCACGATCGAATTTACATGTAGTTGAATCTGGTTGTATTTGTATTAATATTAAGTGTTGTGCCAATATGGTACGGCGGCTGTTAACACATATCGTGTGTGTGTGTGTGTATGTGTGTGTGTGTGTGTGTGTGTGTGTGTGTGTGTGTGTGTGTGTG